GCCCAACTGCCGTGCCGGGTGCGTTCCTTGCAAGAGGTGCTGGTGGTTTGCGGCGGAGAAAAAGTGACGTCCAACCTGGCTGCCCGGAAGCCCAGCAGACACCTCTGGTTTGCCCACCGCTACCTCAGTGCTGTGGGGCTGGTGAAGCAGGTGGAGTGGCGGGCACTTGCACACTTTCCTGACGGTCCACGCTTCCGCCATGCCATAGCCGTGGTGGGCAACATCCTCTACGTCCTGGGTGGAAAGCGCTACTACGGGGTCCATGACACCCTGGCCAGCGTCTACAGGTGAGAGCTACAGAGGACCTAGAGGTGCCATGTGATACCAGGACATTGTGGGACCGAGAGGAGGATCTCTGGTCCTCCTTAGTGGAGCTAGAGCTGCTCTGGGGGCCCGAGGCATTGTGGCACTGGAGTTGGTCAAGGTATTCTGGGATTGGTTGGGTGTAGGATGGGGAGGGATCCTCCCCCACCGGGAGGCTCTCTGGGGAGGGGCAGGGAGGCTCCTCCTCTCTGGAGATGCTTTAGGGCATTATGGGTTTGGCGGTGCCCAAAACGAGGGGATATTCCCATGCAAGGGAACCATGCGGCCCCAAGGCCTGATGGGATTGGCTGCTTGTAGGTGGGCTGCTGCCTTCAGCAATGCCAGTGTCACCTCGTGGCGTTGTAGGTGACAGGTAGTCCCTTGCCCCTTTGCCTCTTAAACCCAGGTATGAGCCAATGGACGACTCCTGGGAGCGCCTGGCCAGCATGACTTGTGGGCGGAGCCACTTTGCCGCGGTGGCACTTGGGGATTTCATCTATGCCCTGGGGGGCAGCTCGGGGGAGCTCTTCTGCACAGACACGGTGGAGGGCTATGACCTGGCCAACGACACCTGGAGGTGAGACTGCTCCACGTAGACACCCACTTCCCTCTGCCCACTTCACGCTGCCCATTGCGTGACCTTCAGGTTACGGAGCCTCCAATGGAGAAAGGGCCTACAGTGGCCTTTGGGAGATGTGTACTGGCTGGTGAGATCGGGGGTCGCTGAGTGTCGGCCAGTGGTGCCTGTTGGGTGGGGAATGAGTTTTTGACCAACAGTGATCACTGAGGACCTGCTGGCCGTTTGTCAACGAGACGAATTGCTTGAACGTCACCCAACTGTGTTCATCGGGTGCTCCGCTGGGTGTTGGCCAATACATTGAGGGAGTCCATTGCGGGTGATGCCCCTTGGGCATTTGTGTGTTAGCTGACGCTGCCCACTGGGGCTCATGAGGTGTTGGCCAGTGTGGTGGTCAGTGGGGAACTCCTGAGCAGGCTGTCATCACAGAATCATAGAAATATTAAGGCTGGAAAAGAGCTCTAAGATCATCAAGTCCAACCATCAACCCAATACCATGACCACCAAACTATGTACTGAAGTGCCC